TTTCTCTCTCTCGATCAGCGGTGTCCCGTGCAGCACACACCCCGCCCCCTAGTATAACACTCCCCTCACTCCTATAACCCTTCCCTGCAAAATAAAGTTAACCCCTTCCTCCCCATTGCCATTAGTACAGTGTCAGTGTTTTTTTTTTTTTTTTTTTTTTTTTCACTGATCACTGTATTAGTGTTTTTGGGGATGTCAGTGACCCCAAGTCAGTACCCCCCAATGTCAGAATGTCCGCCGCAGTCCTGCCATAAGTCGCTGCCATAATTCGCTGATCGCCGCCATTATTAGTATAAAAAAAAAACCTAAAAATCCCAGTATCTTTCCCGCCATCTGTAAACGCTATAACTTTCACGTAAACCAATTAATTTACACGTATTGGTTTTTTTTTTTTTTTTTTTTTTTTTTTTTTTTTTTTTTTTTAGCAAAGACATGTTGCAGAATACATTCTGGCAGAAATTTATGACTAAATTTGATTTTTGCATTTTTTTTTTTTTTTTTTACTGGACATGTTTTTATAGCAAAAAGTCCAAATATATATATTTTTTTATTTTCCTCAAAATTGTCAGCTTTTTTTTTTTTTTTTTTTTTTTTTTTATAGCGCAAAAAATAAAAACCGCACAGGCAATCAAATACCACCAAAAGAAAGCTCAATTTGTGGGGAAAAAAAGGATGTAAATTTCATTTATGTACCATATTGCATGACCGCGCAATTGTCCGTTAAACTAGCGCAGCGCTGTATAGCAGGAAAATGGTGTAAATTGCAGTATCTATACCATAGTTTGTAGACGCTATAACTTCACACAAAGCAATCAATATACACTTATTGGGATTTTTTTTTTTTACCAAAAACATGGAGCAGAATACATTTTGGCCAAAATTTATAACCAACTTTGAGTTTACTATATATTTTTTGTAGCTGAAAGTAAAAAATATTGTTTTTCTTCAAAATTTTTGGCCTTTTTTTGTTTATAGCGTGAAAAAATAAAAAGCGCACAGGTGATCAAATACCACCGAAAGAAAGCTCTATTTGTGTGAAAAAAAAAAAACGTAAATTTCGTTTGGGTGCAGCATTGCATGACCGCGCAATTATCAGTTGAATTAGTGCAGCGCCGAGTAGCAAAAAGAGGCGTGGTCATTAAGGGGGGTAAATCCTCAGGAGGGCGAGTGGTTAAAGTGAATTTGACTTGTCGGCTATATTTTGTTTTCCCCTTGTGTACTGGACTGTGTGGTGGATTTGTGGGATTTGTAAATATGGCAACTCGGGATCACTAGCCAGGCACCTGTAAAAGTAAATGGTCCTTTTTATTGGTCTCTCAAAACAAGCAAACTGTTTTCTTCAGCAAAAAAAGTAAAGCAAACCTTTCAGTCCTGGAATAAAGATGATCACACAACATGGCTCACCACCAGTATCTCAGTCCTACATCTAGGTTTGGGGTCCCCCATCTGTTTTGGGACACGACAAACCGCAGGAGCTCCAGGGAGTCCACACTTGATCACCGCTGTGATCCACTCCACTGCACTCCACCTCATAGACGTGCTGATTCTTTCCTGCAGCTTTTCAAGACTCCCTTGCAGGTGTCTTAACCCCTTCAGTCCCTGTAATCTGGGTTTGTAGGCTTTCCCACCCCAAACATCTCTCCTGAACCTCTGAATTCAGGGTCCCAAAGAGCACTGAGTGCACTGTAAATCGGTCCTCTCCTCTCTATGTGGACTACTCGGAACCCCCCCCACCCTGCATGGGTGAGGACACCCGAATACTTGTATATATTTTCAAGTCATCCCCCTTAACCACTTGCCTACTGGGCACTTATACCACCTTCCTTACCAGGCCAGTTTTCAGCGCTGTTGCACTTTTAATGACAATTGCGCGGTCATGCAACGTTGTACCTATATGAATTTTTTTTTTCTCACAAATCGCTTTCTTTTGTTGGTGTTTATTCGCCACTGGGTGTTTATTTTTTGCACTATAAACAAAAAAAAGGTAAAATATTTGAAAATAAGTTTTTTTTGTTTCTATTATATAATTTTGCAAACCAGGTAATTTTTCTCCTTCACTGATGAGGCGGCACTGCTAGGCACCGATCATCCGTGCCGATCCCTGCTCTAACAGCTGGTTCTCAACAGTTCTTTCCTCGCTCCCTGACAGTGTGAGGAAAGTGCAGCAGAGAACCGGCAATTGCATTTCCCAGTGATCAGCGTGTAATTGGACACAGCTGATCACGTGTCAATAGGCCGCTGTGATTGGCCTTTTACCACATCACCTGATCAGCTGTGTCCCTGGGACACGGAGATCACGGGGGTGTGTAGGAGAGCGCGTTCTGGGAGGATGTCATATGATGGCCTCCCAGAACTGGCCGGCCGCAGTGCAGCCATCATTCGGCTACCTGCGGTTGGCAACTGCCACAACCCAAATAACAGGAGGACATATCTCGTGGTCAGGACCCATCTCTGGTATCCCGTGCAGATTCTATATTGTCAGGTTTTTCTCTTTCCTGTTCTGACCTTCCTATCTTCTTCCAGCCATTTCCGCACTTTGGATGCCTCCTTGAAAGAAGATTTGCTGGAGCTACTTGTGAAAGGTATATCTCTACTCCTACTAGAAGCATTCTTCAGTCTGGTGTTGTGTTTTTTTTTGTTTTTGTTTTGTTTTGTTTTTTTTATGTTTCAAGAATTTTGTGTATGATCTTTAAAGATTTCCCCAGCCACATGATGAGTCCAAGGCGAATGTGACTCCTCCTTCCTCTGGGTGTGATCTCTGCCTGTGGCCCCCGGTCTGTAATCTTGGTGGCCGTGTAGAAGGATCTCGCTGCCGCTGTAAGGCCAGACCTACATCGGCTTATTCGCAGGTCTGTCTCATTCCATTCCTGCCCTCCGAAGTCAGAGTGTGCAGATTCTGAGGGGACCTACAGACTGAGCGGGGTCCATCGAGGGGCAGGGCAGAGCTCATTACTCACTAAGAGGTGACAGGGGAGATATGAGCACATATCTTTGGTAATCTGATGGCGAATCTGAAATTCACGGTTCCCTTCTTAGACTATGCTGGAGGCAGGACTGCTCTGGGAAAAACTATCCCTTTTTACTAAACAAAGGTTTATATTGAAATGGAGTTGTTTTCTATGAGGAGACTTTGCTGTCCATTAGTGGTGCACCGAAATAAAAATTCTGGTGCCGAAAACCAAAATTCAAAATCCACTTGACCGAAAACAGATGTGCTTTTTTTTTTTTTTATTATTTATTTAAATGAATATATATATTTTTGGGAAAAAAAATGCACATTAATGAAAAAAAGTACCCCAATTTGTTCCTAAAATATGAAAGAGGATGTTATGGCGAGTAAATGGATACCCAACATGTCACACTTTAAAATTGCGCATGCTCGTGAAATGGCGTGAAACTGCGGTACTTAAAAAATCTCCATGGGTGATGCTTTAAAAATTTCTACAGGTTAGCAATGCAAAGTTAGAGGAGGTCTGGTGCGAGAATTATTGCTCTGACGTTCGTGGCGATACCTCACATGTGGTTTGAACACAATTTACATATGTGGGCATGGCCTGCGTATGCGTTCACCACTACATGCGAGCACAGGGGCACCTTAAGCGCTTTTTTTTTTCTTCCCCCCCCCCCCCCCCCCCTCTCAATCACTGAGCTAATGTGACCCCAGCACTGACAGAGGGGCGAGGGAGGGTTAAACTACGATACTGGGCTGGCAGCTGACATCCTCCTTAGCAGCTGATGTCATTGGTTGTCAGGATGCCAGCAGCCTGGGTCTGGGAAAACTTCGGCTTTTTGTAACTAAAAGGCGAGCTTGTTCCACTGAACGGCTTGTATATAAGTTATGGGCAATTTTTGGACATTTTGCCAAGGCACCCCTAAAGAAACCTCAAGACATCCTGGTTGAGGAAGGCTGATCTAAGGTACCGAACTCGCATTCCTACCCTCTAGGGACAATTTTTAGACAGGAGCCAATCGACCTACCAGCATGTCTTTGGAGTGTGGGAGGGAAACCCGCACAGGGAGATCATGCAAATTCCAGACAGGTGGTGCCGTGGTTGGGATTTGAACCAACGACCCTAGTGCTGCCAGGTGGAAGTTCTAACCACTTGGCCACTATGCTGCCCGATTTTAGTACATAACCCCCAATATAATGTAGAATTGAAGTGTTTTGCAGGCTTGTAGTAGGAACCAGGGGCGGACTGACAACTCATGGGGCCCCCGGGCAATAATGGATCATGGGGCCCCTGTGTCCTTGCCCAAACTCAAAAAAGCCTATGAAAAAGGTACCAGGGGCATCTCATGGGGCTCCCTACTGACCCCGGGCCCTCGGGCAGTGCCCGAGTTTCCGTCAGTCCGCCCCTGGTAGGAACATTGGCGGGTAAGGTGTATTGGGGCAGAGGTCATGTGATGAATGGTTCTTTGTATGTTTTAACGCACTGAGATAAGTCGGTGCAACATAAGTCAGTGTTTCCCAATCCATTGCTTGTGCAACACATCTGTTGGTTCCCGCACATGAGATGTCAGATTTCCTAGGGCTGTTTGGCAAAGGTATATCTCTGCTCCTACTAGAGGTATTCTTCAGTCTGGTGCAGTGTATTCATAAAAACTATTTTTAGTCCAAAGATTATACTGACTTGTTCTAATGTAAAAGCTGCACTGCAGTCCATGGTAGTTGTCACTTTTTTACTCATTCTTTTACACCAGTAATGACTTTTTTTTTTTTTTTTTTTTTTTTTTTTTTTTTTTTTTTTTTTTCGGTTGTGGGTGGTTTTTTTTTTTTGTGTTGGTGTTTGTTGTTGTTGTTGGTGTGTTGTGGTTGGTTGGTGTGTGTTTGTTTTTTTGTGCATTGCAGGGGTATGTAAACTAGTGACTAGGGAGCCTTTGTAAATTCATGCAGTTTACTAGGATGCCTAATATCCCATCTTTTTCCAGCCACTTCCCAGCATGCGGCTGAGCTCCCTGCAGTTCTGGAAGATCTATCGCTGGCTCAGGCCGATAAGAACACTCAACTCAACACACTGAAGATGAATTGCTTTCTCCTTGTACATTTGGTTGAGGCCTTTGAGGTGGAGACTTACAAAGCCGCGTTGGGGAATGTGGAGCCCAGCGGTAAGGTAAGAGGTGAACCCGGTCTACGGCAGTTCTGATTGGGCATGAGCACTTTCCTAAAGGAAACCTTTCATGGGAACATTGGGACTCCCATTATGACCACTCCTTGTGCAAATCTTCGTTTCCTGGCTGTTGTGCCGGTTCTCCTGGTTTCAATACGGTCAACCACTGACCCCAGAGTTTGCTGGTAAAGGATTTGATTTTCCTGAGCTGTATCCCTGTTCCAAATTAGTGACATGCCATTGACAACAGATGGTCAGCATAGCAGAAAGGCAAATGGCTTCCAATATATTTCTCTCATGGCAGGATTACGTGAGATTTCTTTTTCTCAGGGAAGGAAGACAAAGTCCAAAGCAGACTGCTTTCTTTGGGAAACGGAGCGAGAAAAAGTCCTGCAGACCATCACACACCTCCTCCAACTAGACATCCGGAGACTATGGAGCATGTCGCTGATCGAGGAGGAGTTTATCAGGTCTGACCCTTTTATTCTTGGCAAAGGGAATGGGGTGTTATACATCTAACACATTACAGAAGAGATCTGAGGTATCTGTCTTCACAAAGAAGCCATCAAAGATATTTAACCACTTCCCGTCCGTCCCATGTACATAAACGTCCGGACGGGAGCAGTACAGGAGTGGGTTGCCGTTAATAAACGGCGCCCACATTTACAGCCTGTGCGTGCTCCTTGGGAGGACACAGCAGAACACCGATCACATGATTGGGACCTTACACAGAGGTCCCTGTCACGACCCGCGGTCGCCGCCACCAACAGGGCGACAATCGCACAGCCGCGACTAACAGTAATACGTCACGCCCACGGCGTCAGACCCCAGACCTTCTCACCAAACTCGTGACCGAAGGACCAGCCGATCTAAAACCGCAGTGTGACACGCGTAACAAGGCCACTCTCAGCTGCACCCTACACAGCGATTGCCCAGCTAATGGACTACAATCTGTGCCTGCAGCCTGAATGCGCTTGTTACTGGGTCGGGTTAATTACGCAACTATTATCAATAAATACCAGCGCAAACCCACATAATAAATTGCATCACCCAGCCTATTAAACAAACTTAAACTGTGACACAAAACCACTTTTGTGCTAATGAAATAAAAAAATATATATATAAATAAATAAATAATTTTTGAATTAATAAGTCCAGTGACAAAATAACAGTCCCGTGACAAAATAAGTTAAATTGTAATTTTCATTGGATTCTTCCGTGCCTTTGATCCCTTCACCATCCACCAGTGCAAAAACCAACATTAACCGCACTCGCCACATAATAGTGAGTGCGATTAATGTTGGTTTTTTGCACTGGTGGATGGTGAAGGGATCAAAGGCACGGAAGAATCCAATGAAAATTACAATATAAATTACAATTTAACTTATTTTGTCACGGGACTGTTATTTTTGTCACTGGACTTATTAATTAAAAAATTATTTATTTTTATTTATATATATTTTTTTTTATTTCATTAGCACAAAAGTGGTTTTGTGTCACAGTTTTTTAAGTTTGTTTAATAGGCTGGGTGATGCAATTTATTATGTGGGTTTGCGCTGGTATTTATTGATATAAGTTTTTTTGGTTTTTGCACCTGTGTACAGCAGCATCTCACGGGGAATTGTGTGTTTTAATAAGAGAGTCCTGGGCGCTGAGGTTTTCTTTTTTACATAATTACGCAACTAACCCTCTACTGCCACCACCACTTTTGTCGGAGACTGGGAAACTCCCGTTATCAAATATACACTATAAAGATTGAAATATTGATCTATATAGCACGGCCCGCGGACCTGCTATACAGAGATATAACCAACAGTAGCGTCTCTTCAAAGGCAGGGATTCGTGAATTGCAAGTAAGCGCTTAGAAACAGTTTAACACTTTCAGAAAGAGAGATTTATTACTAAAAGTGTCGGATGCAAATAAATATTTACAAAGAGATGTCACAAAAATATGTATATAAAGACACAGCAAAGAGATAATTAGGAAGAAGATTACAGGGTTGAGTTACTTGCCCATATGCCTGGGTTTGCAGTCCAAGTTGTGAGCAGGGTGATTTCTTTGATCTCCTCTTGTTACGATGTTGCTGGGAGGTGTGTGTGTGTGTGTGTGTGTGTCTCAGACTAACTCACTTGACTCTCTTAAAGGTCCCTCTCAAAGGGGAGGGGGGGGGGGCTCTGACTGCACGTTTTGGGAGTGGTCATAGGGAAACTCTAACTAAATTACCAGCTTCATATCCCGTGATATGAACCATACAGTTGACCTGAGGAATGTTCAGTCCTGGGTCAGTTTGATAATGTGTGGGCTTACATAGCTGTGGGTGACCAAAGTGACACCTCCGCAGACGGGCTGGCTCCACTTCTCATGTCTTAGCCTGGTTGTTCCACATCATCTGCCAGGAGATAAAGTCTGCCTCACAGGAATGCAAGGGGGGGGGGGGGGGGGGGGGATGTGAGGAATGATTCAAGGAATACCTCAAATACAACAAGGTAAAGGAGAACTCTGCTTCCAGCTGGATGAGCTAGTTTGCTACAGTCCCGTACAGTGATCACTGATTGGCCATGATCACATGAATAGTAGTAAGCATGATGTCACTTCCTGACATTGTTTACTACTAGTGAAATCTGTGAATGATCACAGAGGTCACATGGCACAAGGCTATTCACAACAGCCTTGTACCATGTGACAAGCTGTGACTAATCACAGCTCACAGTATTTCTCAATGGCTACAGGAATGCAGCCAGAGAGGAGACATTGATTTTACAGCCTTTATGGGTGTAAAAGCAATCAGTGTGTGGGGGGGGGGAAAAAAAAAAATCTTCATCACCCCCCCCACAAGTAGTAGTGTCACTAGGGTGACAGTATGTTAACAAAAACAAACTCAAATAATAAAAAAAAAATTAAATTTTTGGTTATAAACTTTTTTTTTTTTTTTTACTATTTAAAGTTTGCCCCTTTTTTCGTCTTATACTGCCATATGATGAGTCCAAGGCGAGTGTGACTCCTCCTTCCTCTGGGTGTGATCTCTGCTCATCGCCCCGGTCTGTAATCTTGGTGGCCGTGGAGAAGAATCTCGCTGCCGCTGTAAGGCCAGACCTATAGCAGCTGTATTGCAGGTCTGTCTCGCCTATGTCTGCCCTCTGAAGCCTGAGTGTGCAGAGACCGAGAGGACCTACAGGATGTGCGGTGACCAGCAATGGGGCAGGGCAGAGCTCATTACTCAATAACGGGTAAAGAGGAGATGTGAGCTCATATCTTTGGTAATCTGATGGCAAAATCTATGACCTCCACTATGACTCTAATTGAATGTTTGCTTTGCCTTTCATCTGTCCTCCCTTTTCTATTTCAGCATGGTAACCGGCTGCTGCTATAAAATGATGGAAAATCCAAGTATGGGAGCTCTGAAGAACAAGCCGCTGTGGGAGGCATTATCGCACCTTCTGGGTGTGGCTGTAAAACGCTCCAATGATACCTTAAGTAAGTACAGGAAGTTTGATTCTTAAAGTGATACTAGAATAAAATGGTTTTTTACCTTTTTAATGCATTCCTTGCGTTTAAGCTAAAAAAAAAAAAAAAAAGCTTTTTATTTCTATTTCCTTCCCTTTCCCCTGTGACTAGGAGGAGAAGGGAGACTAGATGTAGTGCTGTGCACAGCTGCATCTTTTCCCCCTTCGTCCTCTTAACACAGGGACTTGAGCCATTGGCTCCTGCTGCTGTCAATCAAATGCAGAGAAGAGGAGGGTTGGGGCCCTCTCTGCAATACCATTGCACAGAACAGGTGAGTATGACATGTTAAGTCCTGTGAGTCCCGTCACTTGATCCACTATTAGTCAGTGGCAGCTGCAGGGAAGAGGAAGGACAGACTATGGCTGTACCATGGAAGCCTATGGGTGATGTCATCGCTCCGGTCTTTCACAGCCCCTTGCCACGTGCTCTCCCCATTCCTCTACAGCCGACACTGGCTGAGGCGATCATGTGACCAGAACGAGCTGAAACTACTACTACTACTATTTTTGCAAAGCTTAGTATAGATCAGTGATGAGGAACCTTTTGGCACCCGAGTGCCCAAACTGCGACCCAAAACCCATTTATTTATCTCATAGTGCCAACACTGCAATTTAAACCTGAATATTAAGGTTTAGTTTAGAAAAAAAAAAACTTACATTAACATTTTTTGTTTTTTCTTTTAAAACGGAAGATAACAGAGCTTTCAATGATACAAACAGCTGACCGGCGGGGCAGTGTTTTTTGCTGACCACCACCGGCGTGGCACAACATTTAAAAATGTCAGTCTGTTTAAAGATGTATAAAAACTCTCACATCCAGTGCAGCAAATCCGTATTCATGTTTGCAGCATCTTGCTGCTGTAGCAGATCCACTGCTGGATGACTGTGCTGGCTGATGGTACGCTGAAAGCTCTGACGAGCAGCTAGGGAGGTAGTCGTAGCTTACGATTTCGAACGTGCATGCACGGGACCCAATATTCGGCTGCAGGACATTAGTGGGGCGACTTGGCTCATGTGCCGGCGTCTATAGACGTCCTCCCAGAAGGTGCCTTCCACGCGCCCCCTGGGGCACGCATTGGGCAAACTCTGGACACAGCTGATCACATGGTAAAGGACCACTGAGATTGGCCTGTTATTGCAATCTGATCACAATCACAGCTGATCACATGTTAACAGACTTGCCGGTTATCGGCAGTCTTGCACTGTCTGTGAGGAAGGGACACCCGATTCCTGGAAAGGCTGTCAGCACTTTATTTGCACTAAGTGTCCTGATGATCAGTGCCACCTTGTCAGTGCTGCCTTATTAGTCCCCATCAGTCAAGAATAATTACTTATTTGCAAAAAGTGTGTTGGGGAGGAGGGAGTTGTTGTTGTGTTTGTGTGTGTGGTTTTTTTTTTTTTTTTTTCCCCCTCCTGTTTTTTGGCAAAAAAACCCAGTGGTGATTAAATACAACCAAAAGAAAGCTGTCTTATAAAAAATTTAATTTGGATACAGTCTTGCTTGACCGCACAATTGTTGAAGTGTGACAGTGCTGAAAGCTGACAATTCGCCTGAGCAGGAAGGGCGTGAAAGGGATCAGTATTAAAAGTTAAAAAAAAACAAAAAAAAAACACATTTTATCGTTTTTTTTTTTTTTTTGTCCCAACAGGCAGGAAATTTTAACCACAGCAGACTTTAAAAAGCGGTCCTAAGTAGTCAGCTATCGCCTCCTGTGGATGGAGGCAACTTCATGCCAGTTTTAACCAAAGAACAACCCCCAACCACCCCCCCAGCTTTCCTGCTCTACCTCCCTGTTTACCAGTTTGTTTCTGTGGTAGGTGAGCAGCACCTTCTATCCCTAATCCCCATGGACTGCCCTTCTGACTGTTGGGAGTGCTATCCAGGGCTCCCTTCTCATGCTCCACAACAGCCATCTTCCTGCCACCTAATTCTAATGCGGTTTCAACATTTTCTCCTTAACGGAAGGCACTGCATGTTGCTTCAATGGATGCACTGAGCTTGGAAACAGGCATAGGGCCTTGAATTCTGACCCTTGCAACATATGGAAAGGGGCCTCCAGCTGGCCACTTCTACTTCCTACTGCGGGGACAATGAAATCAGTAGCCCTTAAAGTGCTTGTTTATGCCTCTGCATCATAGATCAAGATGGAACCACCCAGATTCTTCTTGGGCTTAGTGGCTCATTGTCTAAAATTGGTTCTTAAAATCAGTGGGATCCCTTGTTTAAATCTTCCACAAGGTCCAGGATTGTTTCCCGGCGGTAGTTTTTGCTGGAAAAGAAAATCCACATACAGATGGATTGGGCCATTTATGTGAGAATGAGATGCTGGATTGTATGTGTGTGTGGTGCCTGCTGAGGATTGGCTCTCTGGCCTCTGAAGAGTGGTTATGTAGAGGCTGAGCCGTTTGGAAGGAAGTACATCGTGCACAGGCCTTTAGCAGCTGACCGCATGACTACAATTTTAATTCATCCTACAGTGTTTCAGTAGCATATTCTAGAATATATAAAATAGGGGATGGAGACAGAGGGATGGATATATGTGTGTATGTATATGTATGAGAGATCTATATATCTATTTATTTTTTTATAATACAGTAGTAGCAAATTGGGTTTTGTTGTAATATTAACTGCTTCCAGCCCGCCATATAAGGAAATGACAGGCGCAAGGTGGTTCTCTCGTTCTGGGAGGACGTCCTCCCACTCTGACTGTGCATGCGCGCTGATCGCTGGTGTGCTGTGTCCCTGGGGAAACAGCGGATCACTGATCAACTGAAAGCCGAGGATGTCAGTTCTGTCATGTGATCAGCTGTGTCCAATCACACCTGATCGCATGTAAATAAGGAAATACTGGTTGTAATATATATATATGTGTGTGTGTGTGTGTGTGTATATATATGTATGTGTATATATATGTATATATGTGTATGTATGTGTGTGTGTGTATATGTGTATATATATATATATATATATATATATATATATGTATATATATATATATATATATATATATATATATAAAATTTATTTTTGTTTTCTTCTTCTTCATGAGCCGTCTCGAGAGGAGAGCCAGTAATCTGCATTACACAGAGGGGACATGTACACTGATCATTAGGGCACTGATGATCAGTGTAGCCCCAGCAGTGCCACCAGTCAGTGTCCATCAATGCCACATCAGTGCCTACCAGTGCACATCAATGCCACATCAGTGACCATCTGAGCTGCCAGTCAGTGCTGCCTTTCAGTGCCACCTACTAGTGCCTCCTCATCAGTGCAGCCTCAGTGAAGGAGAAAAATCACTTGTATACAATTTTATAACTGAAAATTTTGAAAAGTTTTTTTGGTTTAACAAAAAATAAAAAAAAAAGATGATTAAATACCACCAAAAGAAAGCTCTATCTGTCAAAAAAAAAAAAATATTCATATGGGTACAGTGTTGCATGACCGCGCGCAATTGTCATTCAAGGTGCGACAGCGCTGAAAGCTGAAAATTGGCCTGGGCAGGAAGGGGGGATAAGTGCCCGGTAAGCGAGTGGTTAAATCTTAGTCCTGCCACGTGATGACACAAAAAGGCAAATGTGACTTTCCTTCCTCTGGGTGCGTCCTCTGCCCATCGCCCCGGTCTGTAATCTTGGTGGCTGTGGAGAAGAATCTCGCTGCCGCTGTAAGGCCAGACCTATAGCAACTTAACAGCGGGTCTGTCTCATCTATTTCTGCCCTCTAAAGTCTGAGTGTGCAGAGACTGAGCGGACCTACAGGCAGTGCGGTGCTAGATAAGTGGGCATGGCAGGGGTCATCACTCGCCAACAGGTGAGGGGAGATGTGAGCACTTATCTTTGTTAATCTGATGGCAAAATCAATTACATCTGCTACGCTGTTATGAATGCCTCGGACAAATGTTGTTTCTTTGTCTCTGACTTTCTTTTCATTGTTGCAGTAAGCTGAGGAGAAACGCAGCAGGCCCTTCTGATTACCTTGCCTTCCGCAGTGGGATGTGCAAGGGATTAGGATTCCAGCAGGGGGCAGAGTTCATTGCGTGCTGACATGGGGGAGGTGAGAGCCCAGATCTTTAAGAATCTCATGACCGTTACACACAAGAACAAGGGTACAATGCGTTGCAGGCTAATTTTTGCAGAAAAAAAAAAATTCCATCTGCAAATATACAGTGCATTTTATTTATTATATTTATTTTGCAAAGGGGTCTTTGGTTTTTAAGTAATCACAGCTATTCTTGGGTAAACAACCAAGACCTGTCTCAAGCAGGCATGCACATGCATGTTCCGTGTCAGCAGCTCACCAAGGTGGGAAGTAGGATGAGGAGGGCGGCCCTGAGCTGGAAATGGGAGCGGGTAACTGTCAGAACCACTTTTTAGTGGAACTCTGCTTTAGCTTGCATAGATTTGAATGGCTTCCATTGAAGTACATGGGCTGTGATTTTGTCATGTGACTGTGTCCGAAGTCACATGACGTGTTGCACAAATGTGAATGGAGCCTTAACAATTGTACTGTCAACAAGCACTTGGTGTAACTATTCTGCAGTGTTTATCCCCCGGGATAATCTTGGATGGAGTGTGGGTTTTTGTTTTTTTTTCCCCTGCATGGAAATAACCCCTCGCCCTCCAGAGGATTTAAACCCCCCCCCTTCTTGCCCAGGCCATTTTTTGCGATACGGCGCTGCATTACTTTAACTGACAATAGCACGGTCATGCAACGCTGCACCCAAATGAAATTTATGTCCTTTTGCCACAAATAGAGCTCTTTCAGTGGTATTTGATCGCCTCTGCATCTTATTTTTTGCCCTATAAACAAAAGACTGACAATTTTGAAGGAAAAAAAATATATATATTTTTGACTTTTTGCTATAAAACATGTCCAGTAAGAAAAATGTAAATCTAATTTCGTCATAAATTTAGGCCAAACTGTATCCCGCTCCATGTCTTTGCTAAAAAGAAAAAAAAAAATACATGTAAATTAACTGGATTACGTGAAAGTTATAGTGGCTACAAATGGTGGTATGTATGTTTTTGGGGTGTTTTTTTTTTTTTTTTTTTTTTTTTTAATAGTAATTGGTGGCGATCAGCAACTTATAGCGGGACTGCTGCGGCGGGCATTCTGACACTCACTAACTGCCATTGACATCCCCAGTGACACTAATACAGTGATCAGAAAAAGCACTGATCCTGTACTAATGAAACTGGGCAGGAAGGGGTTAACATTGGGGGTGATCAAAGGATTAACTGTGTGATACCTTGTAAGCATGCTGCCTTGTATTGCTCTGCTATGAAGAGCACAACAAAGTAGCACGCTGGAGCTGACGGGAGAGATCTGTATGGTTTACATGCAGACCTCTCCCCGTCACTGTTCTTTAGCGATCACCGGGTGCCAGCGGAGAATCTCTGGCCGGGACCCCCTACCCGGAAAAGCAAAATCCTCTATGTATTTTTCGCAGCCCTGCCACCCTGTAGCAGTATTTGTGCTATAGTGCTGCGAGGAAGCAGGTAAGCAACTTTTAGCCTGGGTTCACATGTGGGGTACATTCTCATAGGAACCGCACCACATTCCTGCACAAATCACATGTGATTTGTGTGCAGTGCGATTGGAGCCATACATTTTGTATGGCTCTATTCGCATCACACCCGCACCAAAAATGTACAGGACCCTTTTTTTGGATCGGATCGCTTGGGTATTCACACCCCTGCGACCTTATTCTGCACATCGCACCGCATTTTGCAGACCACTTTCAGGTGTTGCCATACACACCTTCAGTGGTTCACATGAACTGGGTGCGATTCTGATGCGGTGCGGAATTCACACTGAAAACGCTGCAAATTCCGCACCGCATCAGTGTGAGCCCGGGCTTTAAGCTGCACTTGAATTTAAGTTGTTTAATTCGTTTTTCTATTAAAATAATTCCGTGTACTTTAAAAGCGTACTGTTTTAAGGACCCCCAGTAATTCTAGATGTGTAGTCCTCACCCTATAATTATCACCTTTTTGCTGAAAATCTTGTCTGTATGTAAATGTGGGGAAAAATATATAAAGGCCAGTGAAATATAGCATTCATGACATCAATGTGTTTTCATTGTAGTTGCAAGAATATTTTTACTGTTTCATAGAAGCTGTACTATAGCTTCAATGAATGGAGGAGGCAGACCTTTTCATTCATCGGCCTGCCCTCCATTCATAGCTTTTCATTAAAGTAGAATTATAGGCAAACTCCCATTGGGTAGATTTTACTTTTAAAAAAAAAAAGTTTCTGTCTCCTAGCCAAAGTGAAAGGAAATCCCTGCAAAATTCAAAGAATCCATCGGGGGCCCCAGGTCGCCGGACCACCTTCCTCATTGGAAGATTTTCCATTTTTAATTACTGTTCTGTCAACCCCAAATTTTCCCTATATTAATAGGTGCATCTCCCTAGTTGGGACAGAGGTAGCGGTGAAAACCTAAGTAGGTTTCTACTCCATCTCCACTATTCAAAAATTATTTTGGATAGCGTCATCAATTTACGCAGCTCTTTACATATATATTGTACATTCACATCAGTCCCTAACCCTCAAGGGGCGTACAATCTAAGGTCCCTAACTCACATTCATACATACACATACTAGGGACAATGTAGACAGGAGCCAATTCACCTTCCAGCATGTCTTTTGGAGTGTGGGAAGAAACCGGAGTACCCAGAGGAAACCCACGCAGGCACAGGGAGAACATGCAAACTCCAGGCAGGTGGTGCCGTGGTTGGAAGTCAAACAAACGACCCTAGTACTAAAGTTTTTATGCCTTTTTAGATATACTTTAATGGAATCCCATAGGGACACGTCAGATTAAATGCAAGGACCCCTATTCCCCCCCCCCCCCCCCCCCCCCCCCCCCCAGGCTAAAGATGGCTATAGACAGGTAGGGTTCAGCAAGCTGAACAAAAAACTAACCGATTCCTCCATCCACGCAAGCGATCATATTCTCTCGAAAGAGGATGGCCACACACTGATCAAAATTCTTCTGGTCCTCTCCAAATCAGCCAAATTTTGACCCATCTATGGACAGCCTAAGTGGAATGAATGTTTAGCACTTTCTTGAACCTATTTGCATTTTAAGGGCCTATGCAAGCTCTTCTCTTCCCTCTTTTATTTATTTCATTGTCTCTCTATATCCTGTTTTTTAGGTGTCAGTGTGAAAGTAATCCAACTCCTTCAGCACTTTGAGCACCTGGCTCCTGTACTTGTCCATGCGTTGACATTGTGGGCTATGGAGTATGGGATGAAGTCTCTAGTGGGGGAGATCATGAGGTGAGTGGCTCGTCCTACAACAGTGGGCAACTTTTTTAACAGTGTGTGCGTACAAAAGTGAGTCCACCCCTCACATTTTTTGTTTTATATTTTACTATATCTTTTCATGTGACCGACCCCACTGAAGAAATGACACTTCGCTACAATGTAAAGTGCATACACCCCTAAGTGACAAGGCCCAAAGTGTGGCCGCCATTATTTTCCAGCACTGCCTTAACCCTCTTGGTCATGGAGGTCACCAGAGCTTCACAAGTTGCCACTGGAGTCCTCTTCCACTCCTCCATGACGCCATCACGGAGCTGGTGGATGTTAGAGACCTTGTGCTCCTCCACCTTCCGTTTTGAGGATGCCCCACAGATGCTCAATAGGGTTCAGGTCTGGAGTCGAGCTTGGCCAGTCCATCACCTTTACCCTCAGCTTCTTTAGCAAGGCAGTGGTCGTCTTGGAGGTGTGTTTGGGGTAATGTTGGAATACTGCCCTGCGGCCCAGTCTCCGAAGGGAGGGGATCATGGTCTGCTTCAGTATGTCACAGTACATGTTGGCATTCATGGTTCCCTCAATGAACTGTAGCCCCCCAGTGCCGGCAGCACTCATGCAGCCCCAGACCATGACACTCCCACCTCCATGCTTGACTGTAGGCAACACACACTTGTCTTTGTACCCCTCACATGGTTGCTGCCACACATGCCTGACACCTGGTGACACCAAATTCAACTGATTTGGTTCAGATGACCACAGGACATGGTTCCAGTAATCCATGTCCTTAGTCTGCTTGTCTTCAAGCTGTTTGTGGGCTTGCTTGGGCATCATCTTTAGAAGAGGCTTCCTTCTGGGATGACCAATTTGATGCAGTGTGTGGCGTGTGGTCTGACAGGCCGATTTTCCCTCCTCTTCCTCTTCCCCCCCCCCCCCCCCCCCCCCCCACAACCTCTGTAGCAATGCTGGCAGCACTCGTATGTCTATTTCCCAAAGACAACCTCTGGATATGACGCTGAGCATGTGCACTCAACGTCTTTGGTGGACCATGGCGAGGCCTGTTCTGAGTGGAACCTGTCCTGTTAAACCGCTGTATGGTCTTGGGCACCGTGCTGCAGCTCAGTTTCAGGGTCTTGGCAATCTTCTTATAGCCTCGGCCATCTTTATGTAGAGCAACAATTCTTTCTTTCAGATCCTCAGAGTTCTTTGCCATGAGGTGCCATGTTGAACTTCCAGTGACCAGTATGAGAGAGTGTGAGCGATAACACCTGCTCCCCATTCACACCCGAGACCTTGTAACTTAAACAAGTCACATGACACCGGGGAGGGGAAATGGCTAATTGTGCCCAGTTTGGACATTGGCTCATCAGTGATCACATGAATAGTAGTAAACAACATGTCACTTCCTCACACAGATGTCCCGTACAGCGATCAGTGTTCCGTTGTGTCCTCCGAACACAGCGGGCACTGATCATGGTGCCGCACGCTCCACGGGAGCTGCACAGGTAATGGATGCGGGGGGCATTTAGAAACGTCCACCCACCGAGGCAGAGCTCCCGTCTGGCCGTTTATCTACATAGGCCGGATGAGAAGTGATTTAAGTACTGAATCCAGGCAACAGGAGGCTGGCGGTTTTGGGTTTGGTTTTGGGTTTGGTTTTGGTTTTGGTTTGGGGTTTGGGGTTTTGGGTTTGGGTTTTGGGGTTTGGGTTGGGGTTGGGTTTTGGGGGTTGGGTTTTGGGGGTTGGGTTTTGGGGGTTGGGTTTTGGGGGTTGGGTTTTGGGGGTTGGGTTTTGGGGGTTGGGTTTTGGGGGTTGGGTTTTGGGGGTTGGGTTTTGGGGTTTTGGGTTTGGGTTGGGGTTTGGGTTTGGGTTGGGGTTGGGGTTTGGGTTTGGGTTGGGGTTTGGGTTGGGGTTTGGGTTGGGGTTGGGGTTTGGGTTGGGGTTTGGGTTGGGGTTTGGGGTTGGTTTTGGTTTTTGTTTTCCCCTCAGACCTTGTTTACTTTTAAAATCTAAAGATCCTTTATAATGTCGCTGGAAACTTTCTGCTAATTTTACAGGAAGATTGGCCAGAAGTCTTGTCAGGATCTTTCCAAGGAAAGCTCAAGTGTGAAGACCTTGGCCACCTTTATTACTCAGCTGGCTGAGCGGATTCCTGCCATTGTCATGCCCAATATCAGCGTGCTGCTGGACTACCTGGATGGCGAGGTGTGCTGAGGAGCCATTCGGTTATGGTGCATGGTTTTTTTTCATATGATCCCATATTTACTTGTGGTTTTTTTTTTTTTTTTTTTTGGGTTTTTTTTTTTTTTTTCTGTTTTTGCAGCCTTACACGATGAGGAACGCAGTGCTGACTGTCATGGGAGAAATGGTTGTCCGTGTGCTTAGCGGCGATCACCTGGATGATACAGAGAAGAACACCAGAGATAATTTCCTGGACACTCTGCAGGAACACATTCATGATGTCAACACCTTTGTGCGTTCCTGCGTGCTGCAGATTATCAATCGCATTGTGCAGGAAAAGGTGCCTTTCTAGTGTATCATGAACTGTACCTCTTACCACACTATCATTGACTTAGAGAATTCCTACATATCAACATCACTCTAATCCCCTCGTTGTCTTTTCCAGGCTCTGCCTTTGTCACGTTTCCAGGCTGTGGTCACTCTGGTGGTTGGTCGCCTGTTTGATAAGTCGGTGAAGGTTTGTAAGAATGCCATACAAGTTCTGGCCTCCTTCCTCGCCAACAATCCTTTCACTTGTAAGGTAATAGTCAGAGGGTCTGTCAGAAGTTACTGTGTACTGATGGAGTTGGATTATGTATGAAATTGGAATCCTAATTTTGGATTTTTTTTCTCAATCATTTACAGCTTAGCAGTGTGGATTTGAAGGAGCCTCTAGAGAAAGAGACTAAAAAGCTGAAGGAACTTAAGGAGAAGCAGAGGGTTAAACCCCCAGGTATGTGTGACTGAACAGACGTGTGGTACAGATTGGGTCCTTTTTGCATCCTATAAATCGGGGGTGGGCATTTTACCTTTCCCAAAGGGCCACACGAGAAACTGGGACTGTTGTGAAGGACTGAATTTTTCTCAATATTAATTTTGGACCTGGGAAGGTCCATAAGTACATAAACCTATAAAAACCTAGCGCTAAAAATAATGGGTACAAAATAGGTCTTTCAGATGAGCACTCGTGGGTGGTAAAAATGGGTGGCTGAGTTGCAGTTTTACTGCCCATCTGAACTGTAAATTAACAGCTTGGATTGGGGCTGTTCACATGCCACAATGCATTGCACCGCTGTATTTTTAAAGTGGAGCTCCACCCAAAAGGGAAAGTTCTGCTTTAAAGACTGGTCCCCCCCCGCCCCACATTAAGAATTGGCACCTTTTTTTTGGGGAGCGGGTACCTGAAATTGACAGGTACCTGTTCCCACTTCCGCTGCGATCGCCTAGGCCAGGGGTAGGAAACCTGCGGCTCTCTAGCTGTTGTGGGACTACATTTCCCATGAGGCATTGCAAAGATTTACAAAACTGACAGTTACAGCTCTGACTTGCAGAGGCATGATGGAACTTGTAGTCCTGCGGCTCTCAGGTTGCCTACCCCTGGCCTAGGTGATTGGAAACGGAAGTTGTCCTCCTACCCTCCCTCACCTGAAGTCTTGTGGGACACGTGTGACAGGTCCCAGAAGACAGGGCCATTCAGGAAGTGTAGCACTACTCTAGCATGTGCAGTGGGCACCCGGCTGTTAAGCCGCAAGCTGTCACAGCCGGGTGCCCACACTGAAGATGCCGGCTCCCGTAATTCAGGATGGCTGGTGAAACGGGCTGCGGCGGGATCATGGGACAGGTAAGTGGCTGTTTTTTTTTAAAAGTCAGCAGCTACAGTGTGTTTTTTTTTTTTTTTTTTTTTTTTTTTTTTTTTTTTTTTTTTTTTTTTTTTTGTAGCTGCTGACTTTTTTTTAACGGAGTGCGTGGAACTCCGCTTTAACTCTTATAGTGCAGCATTAGAGGGGTAAATCGGGTAGTGAGTAGGTGCTATAACATCACCTCACCACCTGTCAAATGCCCTAAGAAAAGCATGACTGGAAGGAGAGAGCGACTGACTTCAGTACAGCAGGGATTTCTGCAGAGCTGGAGTACAGATGCATGGGACCTGGGGTTGGCAGGAGGTGACACCGAACTTGGCCAGGTAGCTGAGTGGTGGGAGAGTGTCAGGACCTCTGCTAGACAATGCTGTCCTGCCAGAACCAGGCCTCCCCGCTGTACCGATCAGCTTCCCAGACTCTCTCCTTCTAGTTCTTGCAGCTCTCCACACGGACATCTGAGGTAGGCTGACAGTGGAGGCATCAAGAGCCCAGGTCAGCTAAGAATTGTATTAGTTTTGCTGACATTTATTTGCCTTCTAACTTTTTGATTATTATGATGCCTATTATGCTAATAACTAAATAATGTGCACTTATCTTCTTGGATCTAGTATACCAAAAGTGTGTGTGCATGCTTGACAAGGAAATGATGGACGGGCGTCGGTTCTCTCGTTCTAGGAGTACATCATAGAATGTCCTCCTACTCTAGCTGCACGGGGCGCAGTGATCGGTGGTGCACTGTCCCTGGGAGACAGCGGATCGCAGTAAACAGCCAATGACGTAGGCTCTATCATGTGATCAGCTGTGTCCAATCACAGCTGATGCATGTAAATGGGAATTGCCAGTTATCGGCAGTCCTCACCTCACGATGACAGCGCGCGAGGAGGAGAGCCGGTAATTGGCATTCCTCAAAGGGGACATGGTCACTGATCTTCAGTGTAGCTCCATCAGTGCCCATAATTGCCACCTATCGGTGCTGCTTAACAGTTCCAATCAGTGCTGCCTTCCAGTGCCCATAAGTGATGACTGTCGACCATCCCTGCAGCCTCATTAGCGCACATCAGTGAAGGAGAAAAAATTACTTATTTACAAAAATTTTATAACAGAAAAACTTTTTTTTTTTTTTTTTCTTTTAGGGTTTTTAGTTTTGTTTCGCAAAAAAATAAACACATTCGTGTTTAAATACTACCCAAAGTAAGATCTATCTGTCTCAAAATTATGATGAAAATTTAGTTTGGGTACAGTGTTGCATGACCATACAATGGTCCTTCAGAGTACGACTGCACTGAAAGCTGAAAATTGGCCTGGGCAGGAAGAAGGGGGTAAAAGTGCCCTGTAGGCAAGTGGTTATTTTAATCAACTAGCCTGGATTTGTTTTTTTTTTTTTTTCCCTGGTAATTATTTGATGGATTCTGGTTTCAGGGTTACATTCAGACACTGGTCAGAGGGAGGGATTTAGGAAACCTTGCATGGTCCCTTTTTTTTTTTTTTTTTTTTTTTTCTTTTTTTTTCTTTTTTTTTTCCCTGGCCTTTGAAACTAACTATTAATTGAACAAACCAGTCACACACTCAGCCCAAATGTCAGCAAAATACCAGTTCCAGTATCATTCAAAGTTTTTGTTATGCGATGCAGGGATAATAACAAAGCATTGTAGAGAGAGCATGCCTGATGTACATACACAACTGTGATCATGATGTATAACTTAAAAAAAAAAAAAAAAATTATGCAATAAAAAGAAAATATAAACCATTCAATGCCATGTATATTATTATTATTATTATTATTATTATTATTATTATTATTATATATATATATATATTTTTTTCTTTTTAAATTTTAAAGGGCAATCTCTGTTTGGTAGACCTGGTTTCTGTCTGGACAGTGCATGAGTTATCAGTTTTCTTTTTTGTTTTTGGTTTTTTTGTTTTGGTTTTTTTGTTTTGGTTTTTCAGGGTTGGCTGGTAAAGAGATCCATTTTTGGGCATACAACTGGCCTGGAATAATACCCAAGTAATGGGGACACATTTTTATCCTTCTTATACCCCCCCCCCCCCCAATCATATTTAATAGGTCTACTGTTGAAGCTACCAGAAAAACCAGACTTATAATAGCTAAAACATCTCACATTGTATGCTCTTTAAATATAATGTTGCTGGGGCTTCCACACCCAAACCATTACACAGATTACCCTGCTGCTCCCCATGAGCTGTCAGTAAGGAAACCTGCAAGTGATATTGAATAGAGTCCTGGAATTCCCTGATGACCATACATTCGATTAAAGCTGGATATCAAATATAAACTTTACCGGGGGGCAATGTAGAGATCCAAGTTTGGTGAACATAGCTGATATACTGCTGTATAAACATTTTTATACTTTGTTTATTTCACTCTTTCTGTGACCTTTGTGCTTTCTCTAAAATGGGTTCCCCCTTCTTCCTTCCCCCCCCCCCCCCTTTTAAGTTGTAGTAATTTCTCCGGAGGAAGAATGGGAGGCCATGCTCCCTGAACTAAAGGAAACTTTGCACGCTGTCGCACAGGAGAGTAGTGGAGATGATGACTTTCAAGAAGAAATTGATACAAGAGAGAAGTTACATGAGCGTGTTCTGCATCTCCTGAAGAACACCAGTTACAAGTCAGTGCGGGGGGCGCTGGGATGTAGATAACCGGCACCAATGCTATGGCATTTCTCTTCTCAATCTCTGCCTCTTTGTAGACACGCCATCTTCTTGGTGAGGAAAGGCATCTCGAGCTTCCCGGATGATTCCTTGTTCGGAGTGGGTGAAGATGCAGAGGACGAAGACCTGCTGGGGATTCTGGAGGAAATCTTCACAGGTAGCGTCTGATTTATATTGAGATTTAAGAGGGTTAACCCTTTCACGCCGGCGCCTCCCGGCTCTTTAAGAGTTTCAGAACCCGGGAGTCAGGGCGGGGTTTAGGGTCATGTGACGTGCGATCACATGATCGGGAAAGGTCCCGATCGAAAGAGGAGATCAGGACCTTTCCATGAGTACCAGACGTGTGTGCTGGGAGCGCACAGGGCGCGCACTCTCGGCACATATGTCCTTTTTTAATGGAACGCAAATGTGTGGCCGCTCGGCCTCTAGGCCCAGACGCCAGGAGGCCGCACATTTGCGTTCAGCCGGCATGAAGAGGTTTAAACAGTTATGGGGTGAACCCACAGTACTAAACATACTCTACATGTGCGCCGTACGGTTTGTGTTTTCTGTCAAAGGCGTATGTCAAGGCAAAATTAAGACCAAAAGTTATTACATTTCTGCAAAATTTGCAAACGTTTCCATGTGTTTTATCCTCTTCACGTACTGCAGGTACAAAAGGATAACTAATGTGTCAAAATAAAAAAGAAAAGCAAATGGCATGCTTGGTGTTTCATCCTACCTAGTTTCTGAATAGATGGGGGGCCTGTCACCACTGGGTGGTACCGTGGTAATGGGAAGGTATTTGGTTCCATGTCCTCTAACTTGAGACGCATGCTTGAAATATGAGCTTTATAGGCACATAAACTATATACACCATTTATTATAAAAGTCTTCACAAAGCTACTTGTCACAATATAAAAGTTCCTGCACTCAGCAAGTGGAGTACGGCGTGTTCCCCCCAGTAGTCAGATGCTTCTTATTTATATTGCAAATGTAGGTAGCCCAATGTTCCTAGCTGCTGATTGAGATCTGTCTCGCACCAGTCCTCCTGAAAGTTTGTAGATAACATAGCTTGCCAAGAATATAAAATGACAAAGACCAATGGTTGACAATGTTGTATGTACATTTTTGCTGTTGTGCCACAAAACCAATAAACATTTTATTGTGGGAAAAAAATAGCTTGCTCCTAACTTCCTGTTTTTAAGCTGACAACACAAATGTGGAGGTATTTACTAAAACTAGAGCCGGCAGAATCGTGGTGACCGAGCTTCTAGCTTCAGCTTGATTAACCTCCCTGGAGGTATTCCTGAGTGTAGCTCGGGGTAAAGTTTCAGCACCACAAGCGGTAACCCCCCGAGCTACACTCGGGAATACTCTGCAGCGTTGCTCCGGGATCTCTTCTTCACTTACCTTGTCCTGCGCTCCCGCGATGTCCCCCCTGCAGTGTCCCCGGCAATGTCCTCCGGCCGATGCCGGCATCTGTCTTTCGAGCTCCGTTCCCTGCGAGCGTCGGGACGTACGGGGGACGGAAGTGGTGGGAAATTTGAAAATTGTAGAAGTGACATTCACTAAAATCACATAGTATAACATTCCTGTATCAAACCATTTCACATACATTTTGTCCCGAGTGCTTTGTCCGGCGCCCTGCCTGCATTTTTACGGTTCTTTCTGCCTGGAAACTGAGAAACGTCCATGGTGTCCAAAAAGCGTCCCTTTAGGTCAGACGCGGTTTTTAGACCGGCTAGAGAAACAGCGATAGTAAATCAGAACCACTTGCAGAATTGAGTGATAATGATTCGTGGGGGAAATTCCTCATCAGACACTGAAAACTATTCTGCGACTTTACTCAGCGATGTGCGAACTTGGCGCTATATTTCACATTTCAGTGTTTTTGGTTTGATTATTTCAATTTTTTTATGATTTATTAAATTCTAATTTATGATTTCGTGTTTCAAATTTTAAAATACCCGGGATGTTTACTAGACTCTTGTTCGTACAGATTTAAGCAAGTTATTCCTAAAAATTACAGGCCTACAATAAAAAGAAGACATATTTCCATGCAAAAGTACCGCTTTGAGCACAGAAATACTGACATAATCAGACCGCTAGGGAGGTTAAAGCTTTGAAAGTGAAAGCTTGAAGCGAATTGTTCCCATACCCAGCTGTCTGCTCCAGTGTTAGTAAATTCTACTCAAGGTCTTTGGGGTCATCCCTGCCCTACTACATTTCTGATGCTGCCATCTTCTTGTATATCCCCCTCCTTCCCCATCATCTCCATAACCCCTCATTGTGTACGGGAAGGTATAGGCTTATAAGATTCCTGGAAGTTGTGCTCTTTCATATTTTGGCCTTCCATGTCCTAATGTCATTGCCCCTTCACCTCAAGAAGAGGTCTTTTTAGGTCACGCATTCTGATGTCTGTAAAACTGAACATCCTTGACCGTGTTTGCATGAATTGTAGATCCCTTTTGCAGTTGGCATTTACAAGCAAGCTTGCCTAATAAAATATCCATCCACTGTCTGTGTATATAGGTGTCTTGTTTGCGCACCAGTACTATTACACTATGAATCTGTCAATACTATATCAGTAAAAGGAATATAAATATTAACCACTTCCCGTCCGGCCCATGTATATAAACGGCCAGACAGGAGCAGTGCAGGGGCGGGTTGCCGTTTATAAACATCCTCCTGCTCCCTGCTTGTGCGCGCTCCCTGGGAGCATGCAGCACCACAATCCTGTGCCCACTGTGTTCTCCGGACACAGTGGAACACAGATCGTTGTGCGAGGTCCCGATCGTGTGATCACTGATTGGCCAATCGGTGATCACATGAAGAGCAGTAGGCAAGATGTCACTTCTGACATCATTGCTTACTACGTGTGAAATCTATGAATGATCACAGAGGTCACATGGTACAAGGCCATTCACAACAGCCTTTTACCATGTGATCAGCTGTGACCAATCACAGCTCACACAGCCTTTCTCAATGGCTGCAAGAATGCAGTTGGAGAGAAGGAGAAATGATTGCTTTTACAGCCTTTATGGGTGTAAAAGCAATCGGTGTAATAGAGAAAAAAAAAAACTTCATCACCCCGCACAAGTTGTACAGTGTACTATGGTGACACTGTACTGCTAGGGTGACAGTATATAAAAAAAAAATCTATATAAAAATGTAAAAAAAAAACATTTTTGAATGTTATAATTTTTGGTTATAAACTAATTTGGGTCTTTTTAGTAAAAAAAAAAAAAGGTAACCGAATAAATTTTGACCAAGATTTTAGAAGAAAGATTCATTATTTGCAACGTTTTATTTAAAAAAAACTTCTCTTTTTTTTTTTTTTTTTTTTTTTTTCAAAATGTTTGGACTTTTTCATTTATATAGCAAACAAATATCCCAGTGGTGAATAAATAGCACCAAAAATAGTTTTTATCTGTCTCAAAAAAAGCTAAAAAATTAATATGGGTACAGTGTTGCATGACTGCGCAATTGTCATTCAAAGTGCGATCGCACTGAAAATTGGCCTGGACAGGAAGGGGGTGAGTGTCCGGATATGAAATGGTTAATATAATATATATATATATATATATATATATATATATATATATATATATATATATTTATTTATTTTTTTTGAGCAGCAAAGGACAAAAATATGGAATCTCCATCAGTTGAGGAGCAGGTCCCTCCCCCTGATGAAGAAAGCAAGAACTCTGAAGCGAGTCAAGAAGAGCAGGACAAGACCGAACTGAGCAAGCAAGAAATGCTGGTCCAGTACCTGACAGACGCTCACTATTTTGCCTTAAAGATTGAGGAAGCCATTGATGTCATCAGCAAGATGATGTATGAAGCTGCATCGTCTGGTGAGTGCAAAGAATTGATTGGCCAAGCTCTTTTTATAAACCACAAAAAGCTAGAATATAAAATACAGATAGTAAATATATGGGATAATAAAGTCCAATTTTTAAGCTGATTTTTGTGTTAAAAGTTAGTGTTTGAAAGCCTCCACTGTTCGTGTCTGCGTCAACAGACGTTAAAAAGTGTCTGTGACATCTGATTGGCGTTTGAAATGTTTGAGACTCCCCAGGTCAGTGATCTGACATTGCTACAAGTGGGATTTGCCTTCCCACAGACTTGTATTGTAATGCAAAACCCATATGAAGGAAACAAAAGCCTGTTAGCGCAGTCCTTTGTGCGAAAACTACTATGGCACCTCCTGTTCCCCTGTATTGATCTTTGGGATCTGCAGACATTTCATATGCTTGGTCCCGCCAACAGGTTTTTGAGGGCCTTGGAGCCCTGAAGTGTGGTTTTAGATTCACTGAAAACCGAATGTATGAATATTAACCCCCCTGGCGGTATTCCCGAGTGTAGCTCGGGGTAAAGTTTCAGCACCACAAGCGGTAACCCCGAGCTACACTCAGGAATACACTGCAGCGTTGCTCCGGGATCCCTCCAGCACTTACCTTGTCCTGCAGTGTCTCCGGCAATGTCCTCCGGCCGATGCCGGCTTCTGTCTTCCGGGTTCCGTTGCCTGCGACGTCTGGACGTACGGGGACGGAACTGGCGGGAAATTTGAAAGACAAAAAGTGACATTCACTAAAATCGCATAGTATAACATTCCTGTATCAAACCATTTCACATACGTTTTGTCCCGAGTGCTTTGTCCGGCGCCCTGCCTGCATTTTTACTGTTCTTTCTGCCTGGAAACTGAGAAACGTCCATGGCGTCCAAAAAGCGTCCCTTTAGGTCAGACGCGGTTTTTAGACCGGCTAGAGAACAGCGATAGTAAATCAGAACCACTTGCAGAATTGAGTGATAATGATTCGTGGGGGGAATTCCTCATCAGACACTGAAAACGATTCTGCGACTTTGCTCAGCGATGTGCGAACTTGGCGCTATATTTCACATTTCAGTGTTTTTGGTTTGATTTATATTATTGAATTAAATTTATTATATTTTTTTATGATTAAATTATTTGTGATTTCGGGTTTCAAACTTTAACATACCCGGGATGTTTACTAGACTCTTGTTCAGACAGATTTCAGTGAGTTATTCCTAAAAATTACAGGCCTACAATAAAAAAAACATTTCCATGCAAAAAAGTACCGCTTTGAGCACAGAACTATGGACATAATCACTAGGGAGGTTAAAAATGATTAAAACTTAGAAACCTTTTTTTTCTTCTCTGTAGTGGTACAGGAAGTCATCGAGTTCTTTGTCACGGTGTCACAGTTCGGGGGTGCCTCAGGCTGTGATTGGTGTACGCCGCATGCTGCCACTTATCTGGTCGAAGGAGCCTGGTGTTCGTGATGCCGTGGTGGGTGCTTACCGCCAGCTCTACCTTTCTTCTGGCTCAGAATCTGAAAGGTAAGTGGTTGTCCCCTACCAGCTGTAGTCAGAATACCAGAGCCATCTTTCTAGATGTTCAGGTCTGACCATGTGGTATTGTTAGCTGTTTGAGTGGAGCCAGCCGGAGTTCTTTGCTACAGGTCATCCTGTATGAGCTGGGCCAGCACCTCATCCTTTGTGTGTGGCAAGTTTACCTGGGTTCACCTGGAATGGGGTTTTTCTTGTACAAAATGAGGAAGTCTGTCAGCCAGGTTGGAACTGACCTATAGACTTGATCTGAGAGGGGGGAGTCACCATGCAGTACATTTTTAAGCAGGAAGTCGCCTGTTCTATAGATGCATGTATGCTTTATGAATGGGGACATGGGACAAATATAAAATAGGGGCTATCCCAATTTGGGTGCAAAAGTGGAAATGCACTTTTAAAGTGGAAGTTTACTCAGAAAATGAAGTCCTGCTAGATCACTTCAGGATGGCCCTTTTTTAGCAGGTATATGGACTATGTAAAACTTAAGTGCCTGTACAGTTTTAAAAAATCCAGTATTACACTGTCTCAACCTGCTCTGCACATGCTCAGTTGCTTTTTTTTTTTTTTTTTTTTTTTTTTTTTTTTTTTTCTTTTGACACACTGCTGAATATCTGTGCCACTAGAGGCTGATCTGTTGACAACCTAATGATTTTACTAAGGAGGGGGTTGGTGCTACGCTAATCTAAATGAATCTAAAACTACAAAAGGTGGGAAAAATGGATAACCCACAGAAAACGTAACATGTGAACCACAATGTAAACCGCACAAATAGCACAAGTGCACTACCATATGTGAACACAACGCTTATTATTATTATTATTAATTATTATTATACAGGATTTATATTATACAGGATTTATATTATACAGGATTTATATTATACAGGATTATATATTATACAGGATTTATATTATATTATACAGGATTTATATTATTATTATTATACAGGATTTGTATTATTATTATTATAACAGGATTTTGTATTATTATTTACTACAGGATTTGTATTATTATACAGGATTTGTATTATTATACAGGATTTGTATTATTATACAGGATTTGTATTTGTATTATTATACAGGATTTGTATTTGTATTATACAGGATTTGTATTATTATTATTATTATACAGGATTTGTATTATTATTATTATTATACAGGATTTGTATTATTATACAGGATTTGTATTTATTATACAGGATTTAGATTAAAATACAAGGATTTAGATTATTATACAGGATTTATATTATACAGGATTTATATTATACAGGATTTATATTATACAGGATTTATATTATACAGGATTTATATTATTAGTACAGGATTTATATTATACAGGATTTATATTATACAGGATTTTATATTATTATTACTTATTATTATTATTACAGGATTTATATTATTATTATTATTATTATTACAGGATTTATATTATTATTATTATTATTATTACAGGATTTATATTATTATTATTATTATTACAGGATTTTATATTATTATTATATATTATTACAGGATTTATATTATTATTATTATTACAGGATTTATATTATTATTATTATTATTATTATTACAGGATTTATATTATTATTATTATTATTATTATTATTATTTAGGATTTATATTATTTATTATTATTATTATTATTACAGGATTTATATTATTATTATTATTATTATTACAGGATTTATATTATTATTATTATTATTATTATTATTACAGGATTTTAAATATTTATTATTATTATTATTACAGGATTTATATTATTATTATACAGGATTTCTATAGCACCAACAACTTGCTCAGCTCTTTACAATATAACGGGAGACAATGCAGTTCAATACAAGAGGGATAGGAGGGCCCTGCTCCTCAGAGCTTACAATGCAAATAAACACGTCCTCCGTTCAAGACACGTGCCATAGTAATATACGTGAACTATACATATGAAAGAGGAATAAAGTAGTAAAAGTATATAAATAATGAGATATTGAATAATAAACTGGTATAACAATCAATACATGAAAAGCCCAAAAGTGATATATACCAGTGCAAGACTATACATGGATGACATGAATGTCAGAAAAATAATAAATAAATGATGGGTGACAAATAAGCAACACATCATAAATGGTATAAATATTGCCACAGAAATGTGAATAAACACAAGTGCACTAACATATGTGAAAACAACACAAATAGACACGTCCCTCAGCTCAAGACATGTACCATAGTGATAAAAGTGAACTGTACATATGAAAAGGGAGGAAATAATGTAAATGAAGTGGTAAAAAAATATATAAATAATGAAATGCAAGATAAACTGGTATAACAATCCATAAAAAAAACCCAAAAGTGACATACCAGTGCAGGACTAGATATGGATGACATGAATGTCAAAAAGGAATGTAAGTAAAGTATGGAAAAATAAGTACAAACCTGTCATAAATGGCATAAATATTGTCACAAAAAATGTGAATGAACACAAAAGATGGTGTAAAGTCCACGATACACGAATACGTGTAAAGTCCAATATATGAATTCGATAGGTGAAAGTGATCGACTTGACAAGAAATCCACCACCGGCTAAATTGCCTCCTCAACCTCACTCAGCGACCCCCTAGGGGCCAACATGCTTCCAAGGCGCTCAACGCCAAACAGATCAGCATCCCATGGGGGCCTTCTGCACTAATCCAGGAATAATCAACAACAGTGGTGGTATCCCCTTCATGGAGAAAAATGCACCGGACAGCCTCTTAAACTATCCCCTTTTTTTTCCACACTTTTCCAAAGTAGAATAAAAAGGGTGCTGCGGATCAGACCTATACAATCTGCTTCTGTAACCAAGTAACACACCGTTCCCCCCGCCTTCACTGAGGAAGTTGCCTGGCGGACATACTTGGGGGCCCATGTGTTTGGTTTTGGTTCCTTCTACTGACCCTACAGGACACCGTAGTGACTTGGGGTTCAGCATTCTAGAAGTAGTTCTGCTTTTCCATAGTGTGGTTTGGTTCCTTCTACTGACCCTTACCTTTCTACAGGACACCGTAGTGACTTGAGGTTCAGCAGAAGGAACCACGGTGTGCAGTGTGGTGTGCATGCGTCTGTTCCTGAAAAATTCTTTGGGCATCTGTTGAACAAAACAAAGCTCAGATGAACTGGTGGTGGGCCAGGCCTCTTCTTTTGTGGGTGATAATTGGCTATATAGTTTTAATCCAGCAAATTTATTTATTTTTTTTTATTTAATCTTTCTTGTAGGGTGAGAGCTCAGAATCTGATACGAAATCTTTCTCTGCTTATGGTTGACTCTTCTGCCGGAGTGATCCAGTGTTTGGAGGGAGATAGTGAGTATGGACTATTTCTTGGCTTAGTTTTGGGTTTTGTTACATTTGAGTTGAGCTCTACTTGTATGTCAAATCCAATAGGTTCTGGAGTTTGTGCAGAAGGGGGAAATCAACCCTGCCGTGTCCCAGCTGCTTTGGGAGAAGTTTACTCTCAAGTCTCCTTGTTCTGACCTGGAGCGCCAAGCTGCTGTCATGATGCTGGGGATGATGGCGGTCGGTAAGTCGGTATATGTGCCCTGATCAATGTGTTTTTAGAAGCCGCTTTCTGTAACCTTACTAGCCTATACTGCTTTTCAGGGGTCAGCCGGAAGTTGTGCTCAGTAATCTGGAGACTCTAGTGAAGGTGGGTCTGGCCCAGGATGGCAGAAGGATTATCGGCTCGCTCAAGACGTCTGCAACTGCATCTTGAAAATTTCCGATGGCCAAAAGGTTGGTCTAAACTTGTGAATGTGTAGTGAGTGATGTGAAACCCATAGCAACAATTTCCCTCTAGATTGATTGTTGTGTGTTTTTTTTTTTTTTTTTTTTTTTTTTTTTTTTTTTTTTTTTAAATCAAGTAGTTTTTATTGGTATTTTTGCAAGTCATACAACGTATCAACTAACAAACTACTATGACATGGAACAACATGTCAGCACCAGCAAACGCCAAGCCGATCGTCATATGAACAGTCCAAACAACAAAAGAAGAAAGGGGGGAAACCCAATAACTGAGGTTATAGGTGTCTTGGAAATTCGCTTTAACGAATTTCTCCTTACCGCGAGTACTCGCAGTTGGATGCGCAGAAATCCCCCATAAAGCTGTGCGAATCTCGCTTACCACGACTGCAGCTAAACTACACGATTCCTGCCCATCCAACTACTTTTAGCTTCTGTTGAGATGTAGGTGATGGAGCTCCGTTACCCTAGAATAATCACACGACACTCTAAGGCTGGCGTTGCAATTCACATAAGGGCCGGTTTCAGACTCAGCCTTTTTGGTTTTGTTACAAATACACACATGCCCCCACATGAATAAAGTCAATCCCCTCCCACCGAACAATGCAATGGGGAGTGCCTATACACAGGATGTACATTCCGATTGGAGCATAGCCTTTCCTATTATCTATCACTGGTCCTCCCCCATGAGCCTTCTGAGGTCAGCAGACTTCCTCCCCTTCCTCCCATGAGCCTTCTGAGGTCAGCAGACTTCCTCCCCTTCCTCCCAGAGCCTTCTTCAGACTTCCTCCCCTTCCTCCCCCCATCAGAGACTTCATCTGAGTCATATATTTCCCAGCTCCTAGCAGTATGTCCATTCCCTGTACAAGCAACCCCTAGAAATATCAGTCTGTACCTGGATGGGCCCGATACGATCTTTATTAAAACACATCCATCCAAGATACAGTTCAGGTCGATAATGGGTTGTAAGATATGCATAAGCCTACACGTGGAGTTCACACCCGCTTGCGCATTGCGTTACGAAGTCCATGTGGTACTATGCTGCTGATATGTGGATACAGGCCCGTGGTCTACTGCCAGCGGCATTCGCATCGAATGCCGTGGTGGTATACACGCCGGTCTATAAGTGCAGATCCGCCATCTCATCCATACCGAGCTGAGTACTGTAATACATACATTGTACATGCGCATGGCCCAATTGCAGCCTTCAGAGCTTT